TGTTGCTATGGTTTTCGTCACACAGGTCATGAGATGTAAACTGGTTCTGTAAACAATTCACAATCAAATTGGCTTTCTCATTCAGTTCATACGTTATTCCTAAAGGACCATGAATAAGCGGTTGGTGCCTTTGGTCCATCCCTTTTCATAAGGGATTTCGCAACAGGCCACAGAACTTGAGGTGTGACCTCACAGTTCCCTAATTTTGTTTCCTACCATTCTAGTGCCTTTTTACAGGTCATATATGTGATGGTTTTAGAAACTCAATTAAGTGCCATTTTACATGCTGGATCCCAGGTTATTTGCCACAGTTTCCTTAACCTTCGCTTATGTTTTAGCAAATTCTCCAGACCAGGTATGTCCTCATTAATGTCTGAGGGCCTAATTTTGCTTGTCACTAGCCTGTAAGTCAAAGCTATACAGGCAGCCAAGTCGCAGGCCAGTTTATCAGCTTCTTCCTCCAAGTTAGTTTGGATTTTAGGTGAAATTAATTCAGAGGCCCAACATTGGAACTGCTCCCAATCTGTGAATTTTTTTACCAGGTTTGAAAGATTCCTACTTCTAATACGATCCAGCAAATTGAAAATGACTGGTAGGTGATCTGAGTCCAGAATTTCAAAGAAAATGACTTCTGACAGCCAGGCATTCTTGCGCACAATATTGAGCTCCTCACCATTTCCCATTGGAGAGTAATGAGTGGGACATTGTGGAGCTGAAATTTCAAACTCATTTATATGCAGTAAATTCAGTATGTTCACGCCTGAAAGACTGGGAACTATACTGTTCCAAACTGCATGTTTTAGCATCCAGATCCCCTGCCAGTAGCGACTTATATCTAAAGCTTAAGAGCTCACTGCTGTCTGTATCATTCCAGGTGTGGCCTGGTGACTTACAGGCTGGTATTGGTTGCTGGTGTTGTTTCTCTTGACGCATCACAGCTGCGTAGGGCTACTACGGTAAGGTGAACTTAGAGAAGAACGTTCTTCCAGAGGGTCCCTTGGGAGCTCATTGTGCTCTTCTCCTTTGCAGTTCTGCTTTCACGTGGCTGCATCCTCAGTATGACGCTGGATGAAGTTTCTCTCCTTTTAGTAGGGTGCAACTGCAGCCAACTCGACGTAGAGTCTGTATTCGTCTTTTCGGGGAATTCCCTATGCAGGTGGCCACCACCACACCACAAACATTGAGGGGGTTGCTTGCAGTTGGCCCAGAGACGGCCGAAGTTTTGGCAGCTACAGCACTATGTCAGGCCAGTCTGACTTCTCTATATAACTCTACCTTCATGATAATATGGTTTAGGATATTCAGCTTGAATATCTCTTAAGGTAACAAGGAACAGAGGGAGGGTTTCCACATGGGTTTGTCCATTTGGTGCTCTTCGATTGGCCATCAATTGCCTCACGTTGATGAAGGTGAAGCCTAAGCCCTCAAGGCCATTGGAAATATCTTCTGTTGGTGATTACTGCCTTGAGAGGCTTTTCAGAATTTGGAGAGAAGGTAAAATACTGGAGACTATTTTTCTCCAGGTAGGATTTCACAAGAGAAGTGAATAGAAGACTTGACGTGTGTGTTATAATGGCAGTAATCTTGAAAGTGTTACAATTATTTATAGTTACAACTAGTGAAGATCCAATAAACCAATTCACCAATTCAAACCTGCATCTTAAGTCACTGTAACACGCGACAGTAATATAAAAAAGCAGAACCAGACATAGAGTATAGAAGTGAAATGTGGGTACTAAGAAATGATAAGACCCAAACAGAAGCATCTGAAATGGGGTTTCCATAACCACTACTATGTATCTCACCATGGGATAAATACAAAATATTAATATATGAAAACAATTAGAAACAGAACAAATGGTGGAAGATAAGTGATTGTCAAAGGAAATATCATAATTACAATGCCTCCTAAATATCTGCCATGGCAAGCATATTTTTATCACCCTAATGGTACACAGAACATTGGACATCTAAAATGGGTACAGCATTTCTTTTAGTCTGTGTGTCATACCTAAATCCCTGAAGTGGCTGAAGAACAAAACTGTGTGAAACAGTGCAGAACTTTTGGTGCCCAATATTTCATGAACTTCTTCAACAAAATTTTTGTTCAGGAATGGAAAAAAGTAAAACATGTTAAGTATGGGAATATTCTGCATACTGATAATGTGGTACAATATTCTTTCATAGGCATAACACAGATTTGCCCAAAGAAGACTGAACTGCATCATTATTGTTTCATCACTGTTTTGTACTATCCACTGACTTGAAGATTGGGAGAAAAAGAATTTCACTCACCTGTCATTTGCTTTCTGTTCAAATTCCAAGCAATCTTTACTTCATCAGCACGCTTGAAACGCTTCACCTGACGCAACCGCATGTATTCAGACTTGACTCGCTTCTTCCATTCTGCTGAGACTTTTACTTTACTACACATGATGAAATGTATTTAATGTGTCAGGGCAAAGCTTATGTGGTATGTGTGAACAGTAGACACAGACTGTAATACACAGGAAAAAGTTAAATATCAAACCACTTCGCCATCTTTAAAGATACAAAATGCGTTTAAAACCAGCAGTCCAATAAAGTAAGATACAAGGTCATAGGTAAAGTTAAGTGTGTATGAACACCACGATAACAGGTAGGGCAGATCATCGTTGGTCAATATAAGATGCACGCTACCTTCATAACCCAGGCTTTAAGTTGTCATAAGTCTTCTTTTCTACTAAATATAACTTCTATAGACTGACAGCAGTGAGGTGGCAAAGAAAGGTTATCATTCCCCAACAACCATCTGCAAATGTAAACAAAAGGTTTCCATTATTATAAACGTGTACTGCTAGCTTTCCTAGCTGCACTTGTGCTGCACGTTTGGGAACGGTTATATACTGTGGATCAGCAAAAAACAGATTTTCAAATTTTAACAACAAAAATTATTCTCCGCATTCCAGTAACTCTTGAGCCCTAGATAGGCATGTTAAATACTACACTGTTTGCAATACAGCAGTAATGGAGAAATGTTTAGTTTTACTTCAACTTTATTCCATCCAGTGTTTAATACATTGCAACCTCAATCAGGATAACAATAAAGACTGTCTATAACAAATTTAATTACTGAACAGCTTGTACGTACTCACCAACATCAAACTTCAAACTTTCTATACATAATCAACCAAGCAACTTGCAGGACTTGGACGGACATACCTCATGCAGGCAACCTTACGGAACGAAAAACACCCACACTCAGCGAGAAATCCCGAAATCCCGAAAGACCGTTCACGCAGCTCCTATGGCTCCTATGAACAGTCATTTACGTCATTTATAACCTGGCCAAATCAATGCCAAAATTTGCGAAGCATTTGCAATAAATCAGCACAGACGAAAAAGCAATATGTATTGTGACATGATGCCTGAAAGCCAGAATAGTGGAGCCAGAGCTGAAGTCCATTGCTAGTCAGCGGCTCACCAAACACACGTTCCCGCTGCAACAAACAGACAAGGAATAATCCATTGCTGGGCAACGCTTCGGTAAACATGTTTCGTGTCAACGAAGATTCAACAAAGGTTTCCACGGATACGGACAAGCAACCAACAATTTCCATTGATGCGCCCTAAACTATATAGGGAGCATTCATAGAGGATATTACATAAGGACTATTACAGCAATAGTTCAGTTGAAAAAAAACTCTGATCGTGGGCCTCAAGGGGCCTGACGCCAAGACAAACCGACTGGTGGTAAACCGCCAGTCGTAAACTAACTCTGATTCTAACTCTGACTCTGACGTACAAAATCATGATAACGAATATGTTCGCAATACTGGACAAGGCGAAGCACGACATAGAAAATATAATAGTCTTAAACTTAGCAGCGGCCAAGCATACGACCGTTCAAGTGACTGCCGTTGCAGAGGAAGTTACTAGAAATAAGGCATAATCTGCTATACTGAATCTGGACTGACAGAGGCTCCGTATATATTTTATATATTGTACATTTATTAACACGTTTAACATGTAAACTGTAGATATCCTTTACATTATGACAAACGACTTACTACTGCAGGCAATGACTCTGACAAAAGACAGACTTTGAAAACGAACAATATCCCCATGTAAAGGCTGGGTCGAATACTTCCACCGTAGAGACCGTAGCCCAGCGACAAGTAGGAGGCAACGAAAAGTGAAGTCTCGAATCTGAGAGAGTAAAATATGGTCGCGAGTCCCACGAGACTCGGACCCGAAAATGAGTGCCCTGGCGAGGGCCAGCAGCAATTGTAAAAGTCAGACCCATGTTCTCGTCAGAGTGAGCGCTCACATCAACAAACCCGCAGCTGTCTGACAGTGATAAATTCTAGCCGTAAGCACCAGATGTGTGCTTCATTCCAAAACAGACTGGCCGACTGACGGTCGGTTGTAGCATAAGCCTAAGTCTCCGACATATCCCGCGTGGAGGCGGGGTCAAATACTTCCATCGTAGCCCTGCGAGTCTTAGGAGGAGGCGAAAAGAGAACCCACTTGTCTGGGGCTACAACCGGGCCACCCCATTCGGGGGGTATATAAATACGATGACCTGGGCCTCCAGGCTGAGAGAATTTCGAAACTGAGACAGTAAAATGTGGTCATGAATCCATCGGCACTCGGACCTGAGAATGACTGCACTGGCGAGTACCCGCAGAAATTGTGAACCACAGACGCATCCTCTCGTCTAAGACGATGTTACGAGTACACAAGGGCTATAACCGCAAATGTTCAGTTGGAAAATAAAATGACTGGTGGTGAGTCCCAAAGGACTTGTCGCCAAGACAAACTGATTGATGGTAAACCGCCAGTCGTAAAGTAGTTCTGATCCTGGCTTTGAACGATTTATTCGTCATACAGTCGTCGTTTAAGGCTTTCGTTAGAGAGTTCAAAGATTCTTGGTTCGTGATTCGCCACAGCGGAAGAGAAGACACTCATAGTCCAATAAGAATGGAGCGATTCTTAGTCATCGATTATAATTGATTGTAGTTGTATTAGAAGTGCCAATAAATCCAATCATCCAATCCGGAACATGGTTTTACTCGTCACGCAAAACCCTTAAACGTGACAGTATATTATTTCTGCAAAGATCTCATTAACATTTGGAGTCATATACTCAGGACTACTGACAGTGTCTATAGACTCTATAGACAACCATAAATAAACGAAATATTAACATCTTTGCATGGAGACGACCCACAATAGTGGAGAGACTGAATAATTAAACGAATAGATAAAATTAGTGCCTATCATAGTGGTCACACGGTCTAAGGCATGAATGACTTCACCCGCTCAAACACTGAGATCGTGGGTTCGAATCCCACTTGAGACATGAATTTCTGTGTGAGTTTATTCTGTGCTGTCCTGTGGGCAAGTAGCCGTCTTCCAGCGGGCCGATCCCCCGTCCAAAGAGTCGTACCGAGTGTGTAAAGGTCAATACCCTGAAGGAGAGGCCAAGGTCCAACAAAAGGCTATAGAGTCATAGATAGATAAAATTAATATGCGATTTTTTTTGCGTTAAAACTACTAGTGATTTGAAGTTTTACAGTGCAGGTATTTTTGCGTTTTGGCGGGAAATTTTTATTTAAAATTGTGAAACAGTGCCAACAGAGAAATACTAATTTGGTGTGTTCTGGTCTGTTCCCGATCTGTGTTCGTAATGCTGATATATTGAGCATGGAGTAAAAAGTATTGTGTTTGGAAATGAAAGTTGTAAGCTGATTTATTCCTGTGTCTAATTTGCTTACTGGATGAACCATCATGACCTGTAAGGGTTGGAGGTACTAATTATTTTGATTATTTTTATTTCTGCCTGTGTGGCATTTGAAATTGAATATATTAAAATAGAACAAGAAATTCCGTAATAGTTGCTTACTGCAATTGACACATTAATTTTTATATTTTCACATATAGGGAAATGAGTGTGTTATAATGGAATACTTATTACAATTTCATATTTTCTAGTTTTACAGTGTTATACTTCGGTCTAGATTTCGCATTGTAAAGCAGGTTTGAGAGGTAATAGTGTATAGTTTTCTTTCTCGAGATATCCGATTTCAAATGCCAAAGCTTGCTACATCGGTACATAACGTTTTCTATGATCTTGAGTTTTACTTTCGTTATTTTACCACAGATCTCTTGCTGTTGGCATCAGTGCTACATAACCTCTAACCTCATTTTCCAAATTAGTTGCTGTCGGAAAATGAAAGTTATGGTTGAAGGCCATGAGTATTTAAGTATTTTTTTTTTACTTGAACAACTGCAGTTTAGAGCAAGCATTTTAGAAGTGGAGAAAACCACAAAATACCTTAGTCAGGACATTGATGACCCAGTCGAGATTCGAACCGAGAACCTCCCTACGCACGTTAGGGGTGTTACCGCATGAGCAAATTTTCCTCTCACTGCTACTTGAAACAGAAGCGCGAAGTTCACATATGTGACTTTGTATAATATTAGTAGCTGCTATTTTCATTTTGTTTAAGACATAGAAGACATGGGTATAGTAAAATTTTAGTTATGTGAGTATTCCAACGGCTAATAAGCTGGTATTGTTTTCATTAAATATGAATGTATAACAATAATAGATGCTGTTGCAGAATTTCTTAAATATGTTACCACCGAACTGGTTGGTCTAGTGGTAAAGCTCTAGGCTTGTGTTCAGGGGGTGCTTGATTTGAATCTCAGCCAGGACACAGCTATTCTGACTGAGGTTTTTGATGATTTTCCTCAGTCCCTCCAAACAAATGGTACCTTGATTAAGCCATGACCAGTTCCATCCAAATCCTTCCTGTTTCATCGGGCATCCTGGCATTGAATGGTATGTAGCTTTGATACTGACAGCATTCTTAAATAACCAGCTAATTAAGGAAATATGTTAGCCTTCTGATATGCTCTGCCCCCAGTATCAATTGTACAGCAATTTGTGCAGATTGGAATTAGTAGGAAATTCCACTGCTTAGAGATTTTGTTTCTTTTATAGATAAACATTTAGATGTATGTAGTCTTCATAGGCAGGTGTGCTCATAACAGTTGCAAAAGAAATATTGAAATATAAGATTTAGTAGGTTCGAGCCCGGGTCTGGTCAAGTGGGATTTGTGGTGGATAAAGTGGCACTGGGGAAGGTTTTCTTCGAGTACTTCAGTTTCCCCTGCCAATCTTCATTCCATCAGATTCTCCATCATCATAATCACCCAGGGCAGGTACAGTAGGCCAATCAGTGGCAGACGTGCTGAGTGGACCCAACTTGACTCCAACCCCCACTATGGGAAGATTTAGTGGGAGTTTAGGAGTTCAGATGGGACAGGTGGCACCGAACCAGCAGGCGAATTTACATTTTTGTATGGAAAGGGGAATTAGAATCATGAATTAGGTACAGGTTTTTTTCTACATAAGAGAATCATATCAGCAGTTAAGAGGGTAAGGTTTGTTAAAGCTAGGATGTCACACACAATACTGAGAGGTTGCTGGTGCGATATCATTGTTCTGAATGTTCATGCCTGAACACAGGATATAATTGGTGATATGAAGGACAGCTTATAAGAGAAACTAAAACATGCATTTGATAACTTCCTGAAATACCATATGAAGATTTTGTTAGGAGGTTTTAGTGCCAAAGTAGGTAGAGAAGACATTTTAACCAATAATTGGGAATGAGAGTTGGCATGAAGTTAGTAATGATAGAGTAGTAAAATTTGCCACATCCAAAAATCTGTCAAAAGTGCCATGTTCCCACATTGTTAACATTAATAAATTTGCATGGACTCCTTCTAATGGAAATACTCATCGTCAAATTGACCATATTTTGATTGATAGGAGACAGCATTCAAGTATACTTGATGTCTGATTATTCAGGGCAGCAGATTGTGATACTGACCACTACCTGGTGGTGGCAAGGGTTAGGGAAAGACTGGCAGTGAGCAAACAAACAAGAGTTAATATGGAGAGGTTCAATCTCAAGAAATTAAATGAGGTAGAGATTAAAGGAGGAAGGTCTAGAAGTAAACACAGAGAAAACTAAGTATATGTTGCCGTCTTGTCACCAGAATGCGGGGCAAAGTCATGACATAGCGACAGGAAATAGACGTTTTTGAAAACTGGCTGTAGTAGTTATCGTGGGATATCACTGCTATCAACTTCATATAAAATTTTATCCAGTATTCTTTTAAGTTTAAGTTCATAAGCAGTTGAAGTTATTGGTTATTATCAGTATGGCTTTCGATGTAACAGATCAACTCCTGATGAGATTTTTATGCATCCTTGAGATACTTGAGAAAAAATAGAAGTACAATGAGACACCACATCAGTTATTCTTAGACTTCAGTAAAGCCTATGATTCGGTTAGGAGAGAAGTATTGTACAGTATTATGATAGAGTTTGGGGTACCCATGAAACTAGTTAGGCTGATAAAATGTGTTAAAATGAAACATATAGGTAAATGTAAGATTTGAGGCTTTCACGGCAGTGACTCTGAAGAAAGCAGTCTTCTGGGATTTGGCACCGTGTATATGTGGTGTTAACACGGTGCCAAATCCCAGAAGACTGCTTTCTTCATATACGTAAATATTTGCCTGATAATGTTCCTATCAAAAATGGCCTAAATTGACATGCTTTATCATCATGGCTTTTTTAACTAGAGTATGTCATTAGTAAGGTGCAGGAAAACCATGCGAGACTGCAATTAAATGGAACTGGGACACACTAGCTGCTGGCTGTGCTGATGATGTGAATCTACTGGGTGATAACATAGATACCATAAAGAAAAACCTAGAAACTTTAATTGATGCTAGTAAAGAGGTTGGCCTAGAAGGAAGTACAGTGAAGACTAAGTATATGTTGCTGTCTCATTACCATAATGCAGGAGAAGATCAGACTGTAAAGACAGCTGATAAATAGATCATTTGAAAATATGGCACAGTTCAAATATTTTGGATTGACAGTAACACCTAAGAATTTGATTCACAAGGAAATTAAAGGGAGATTGAATTCAGGCAATTCTTGCTACAGTTTAGTCTAGAACGTTACATCTTCTCATCAGGTATCTAAAACTTAAAAATGTGAATATACAAAACTATGATTTTGCCTTTGGTTCTCTATAGGTGTGAAACTTGGTCTCTGGTGTTAAAGGAGGGATATTCATTGACTTAGGGTGTTTAGAATGGGGTACTGAAGAGAGATGAAGTGACGGGAGGTTGGAGAAAGTTACATAGTGAGGAGCTTCATGACTTCACAAAGTATAATTAGATTGATCTCAAGGAGGATGAGGTGGCTCAGTGCATGTAGCATGAATTGGGGCGAAGAGGAATGCATATAGGATATTGATGGGGAAGTCAGAAGAAAAGAGATGACTAGGAAGACAGAGTTGTAGGTGGGTGGGCAATGGTCAGGTATTCAAGGTTTGCATGACTAATGATAATGGGTTCTGGATTAGGTGATTGGATTTATTGGCACTGTTGATAACAATTACAGTCTACTACGACAACTCACAATCAAGGACTATCTGCGACTAACTCCATTCCTTTTTGGACTATGAGTGTCTTCTCTCCTACTGCGACGAATGATGAATGACGAATCACTGCTCACACATTAAACTCCCTTACGAATGAATCCATCGGTCATTGAATTCACGAATGAACTCTCTTTTGTAACTTCTGGAGAAGCGAACAGTGATCACCACCTCAAACAGTTTGTTGTTGTTCTCCCTTTTTTTAACGGGAATGTGTGTTTGGGGAACTGTTGCCTATCAAATGGACTTCTGCTTCTGTTCATTTCTATTCTGGCTTTCAGGCGGTGTTTACCGAACCGTTGCGTAGCATAGATGCTAGAGAGATAGGATGGGGTGGTATGGACTATATTGATCTGGCTCAGGTCAGCGACCAATGGAGGGCTCTTGTGAACATGGTACTGAGCTGCCCCACCCCTCTTTACCCTTCTTCCTAGAAAGGGGAGGACGCCGCTTCCGTCTCCAAATTTTTGCTATTGCGTTCATAATACCTCCCGAGATAGAGCGGGATGTCTAAGCAGTACTTACAATGGCCCCCAAAATCTACAAATAACAAAGGTTTAGTATGACAAACAGACAATAGAATACAATGGAAATCCAGATCTAATATTGCGGCTTTGAAACAGTTACGTCGCGTAATATTAGTGAACACACTCATTTGGGGGGGAGGAAGGGGGTCGGAGCGATACACACAATGCCAGGCAAAAATATAAAAATTGCCCCCCCCCAAAACCCCAGTTTAGCAACTACTCCTCTCTAGGAAACAAATAATAGAATACAATATAATAAAAGAAAATACAGATCCAATATTGCGACCTTGAAACAGTTACGTCGCCTAATATTAGTCGAACACACCCACTTACGGGGTCGGAGCTATACACACAGTGCCAGGCAAAAAAATAATTACCCCGTGAAAATCCCAATTTAGCTACTACTCCTCTCTAGCAAACAAATAGAATACAAGAAAATTACTGATTCAATATTTGAAACGTTGAAACAGTTACGTCGCGTAATATTAGTCGAACATACACACTTAGGGGGTCGGAGCTATGCAGGCAAAAAAAAAATATATATATATATATAATTGCACCCTTAAAACGCCAATTTGGCTATTACCCGTCCCAAACATTCACGGGAAACACTCCAAACCGAACGTAGACTGACCTTGACCGAACAGGATTTATCACCTGCCTTCCCCGACTTCTCGTCACCGAGTGGACCTCTCTCTCCACTTCCTGACTCAAATTAACTAGAAACAATTGGATGGGAGAGGAGAGGGA